ACAATAGATATAGAAGTGTGTGTTTATGTATATATATACATATATTTCTAATTATTTTCACTAATTTGTGGGTTGGCCTATAAGAAGACGACGAACAATGATGAATCTGGTTTGCAACATCAATTGTTTATTATTCAAAAAAAAAAAAGAAGTTTTTCTTTAATTAACAGAATGCCAGAAATCATAGACATAAATAAACATTGGTCTTCTTATGGAGAGAAAAAAAAACGAACGGAAATGGGTGTGGTATATACTCATCAGTCTTTTTCTTTACTTGATAGATCTTTAATCTCAGTTGGAGTGTTTAATTATTACTTGCCATGAGTATGTGTGTGACAGGTACTAGTTGATAACAAAAAAAAAAAACGAAAAAAATAATGACACCTTATTGACAAGAAAAGTCAAGTCAAAATGTCTTCTTCCTTCAGATGAAAAATGGGAACTCCAATATACACATATGTTTCGGACATTTACATTAAGAACAAAGAGAAGCACATGTATATGTGTATATATATGTGAAGTCGGTTTGATGTAGTTGCATCAAGTGAGAGAATAATTTTGATTGCTCTAGCAGGCAAACACATTTTGATTGTTTCTTTGATGAAAGGGTGTGTCGTACAAAACAACAAACGTGTCGAAAGAAAATGATGACAACGCGTTTGTTCATTTATCTATTGAAGAAAGACGATGACGACGATTATCAACAGTTTTACAGTTTGTTTATTATGTTTGAGTGAGAACCATCATCATCATTATAATCATTATTCGACACTTATCATCTTCAAAAGAGAGCCTTCGGCAATATAAATGCCTATGTCGCTAAACACTTGCTAATTTCATTTTCGTTTTCTTATATATATATATATATATGCATGCATGTATGTATGGGTATATGCAAAAATGATGCAAGATGGCATCTGCTATTTGTGTGCTTGGATGAAAATAAAAATTCATCTTGACCAGATGGATATATAAAAAAAAACTCGAAAGAAATTTGATTCGTATAAAGAATATGTGTGTATGTGTATGTATTTGTGTATTTTTGGTCAAATCACTTATTTGAAGAGGAATGAAATATCGTACGAAAAGAGTGTGAGATGTTTTTTGATCGGGAACGAGGGGGGAATGGATGGATATCAACTGTGTTTGTTCTGTATGTTGTACACTTGATCACTACGGTTGCTTCTGAGATTAGAGGATTTATGACAAACAAACTGCTGGTCACCAGTATAGACGCGTCGCACGATATTGACACAAAAAAATAACACGTTAGACCCAATGGATAAATATTGACTAAGATACATACTAGTCCGATGGATTTAATCAGATAAAAAAGAAAATGAAAACGATAGAAGAATTTAAAGAAGAAGAAAAGGAACAAAAATATAAAATTTCAAAAATAAAAATACATTTAGCGTTATTCAAGCAGAAAATGAGTAAAGCGCGTGTATATGTATAAATATATATGAGCATATCTTGAATCGAATATAAAGAAAAAGAGATAGACACAACGATGATAAATGATTTTTTGTACTAAATTGTTTTGCCATTTATTTAAAAGGGCACACAAAAAGAAAGAAACAGAGATCGATATCACCTATTTGAAAATGATTATCAAACAAATTTTTATTTTAAAGGTCGAATTAAAATTCAATATCATATGTATTCTAAACTTCTTTTTTTTTTATATAAATAAAATAGAATTATTTTGTTTTCCGATAATCAATCAAGACGGGCAGATCAAAGTTATAAATACGATTGTTAGATTTTTGATGCTAACACACACATAGAACTCTTCTTACGTCATTTACTTGCCTAGAGGCTATTATTTGCGTATAGTACAACAACAACAAAAAACAAAAAAAAAAAGAAATAAGAAGAAAACTTCTTCAGCTTAGCAACAGTTGTTCTTTTCTTGGGTGTGTAACTTGTCAAGTACATGCCGACTAAGTATAATCGGCTTACAAATAGCAACAAGCAAAAAAAAATGAAAAATTTCATTATCTCTCATCATTTGTCTTGTGGTTTACCTATTCCGGTCGAAAAATTCGTTGTATACTTATAAAATAGAGAAAAATCAATAATATAAATCAACGGAAATATCGGATCGAATTTTCTCATGTCTATTTAAATACATATCCGAACTTCTATATATATATATATAATTAAAAACACAGCAGGTTAACTTTATCACTCATATAGACATCAAACGATTTCAGATACTTATTGGTAGATGATTGTTATTTTCTTTCTTTTTCTTTTTTTTTGCTTTACTTTGCCATACGGGACTTCTCTAAATACAGTTGAGCGATGATTGAAGATGGTGCTGCTTGTTGTTGATGTTGATGTCTCATCTATCTCGTTGGTTCAGCAAGGCGAATAGGACGAGGTAGTTGCTTGAAAATATTTGCTTCATTAATTTTTCAATTAGCCGCACGATAGACACACCACCATCATCGTTCGTTCGCTCGCGCGTGTGCGCATATAGATAGGGTTTCTATTGGTGTATACAATGTGTGAGAGAGCCCAAAGGACATCGTAGGAAAAAAAGAAGAAGAAAAAGAAGAAGAAATAGATTTCTGCTTGAACACGTTTGTAAGAAATCGAACAAATCAGAATATTTCCGATAAGATTTTATTTCCAATTTTGTTTTTTTTCTACTGATAAAAGGTCATGTTTAACACAATTGACATGATGACAAACGTCTATATGTTGATATCCCAAACCGTATGTTCAATACACACGCGTATGTATCAAGTAACCTAATCTGTGCAACAACTGTTCATCAAGAAGAAGAAGAAAAAGAAAAAAAAAGAGAAGAGGCGTTACAACGAACATTATCAGTATAAAACAAAAGAAAAACAATCTTCTTGTTGTTTTTTTGTCTTTTATTTCATAGATATCATATTGTGAAACCGAAAGATTTCTTTTGCGGGTCAAATAATTCATCTTTACTACTATTATAGATACAAAAGAAAATTGCATGTCGACATCAATACTGTCGATCATCATCAAGAGAGAATATGATGGAACGTAAATTAATTGATCTCTCATGTTCGTGTGTCTAAACACGCAACTGTCGAGTACCTTGGAATTTCATTTTTTTTTTTGGCCTCTTTAAGAATCATATAAATACATTAAGTTGGATGAGTGCGAGAGAGAGAGAGAGAGACAGAAAAAAAGGAGCGACAAACTCTCTTGAGATAGAATAGAGACTCAAACAAGAAAAAATGTGACTATCACCATCTCAATTCCAATATGAATAGTTAATGAGCAGACGTTAGACACACGCATATAAGAACAGATGGGAGGATGAGAAAAGAGCAAGCTTTAAACCAATTTATTCTCGTTTCGTTGAACGCGTTAGTGTGAAGAATCTTCATCAAGGGAATATAAATATATACGATGGCAGCAAACAAGAAGGAATGATAATTGATGGAGTGACTAGACTTTTATATATGTATCTATACGGTGTGTATAACAACATAAGTTATGATTAGAAACAATGAAACAAACGACAATAGACTTAAGACAAATGACAATGGGAATAGTATTAAAATGATTTATGAACATCCGTTTTCCAACAAGATTAACTTTTTCTTTCTTTTTTTGACACGTTTAGTAGACCGATTTCTCGTTTGGAATCATTTTTGAAAAATGATCGTTATACAGTCAATAATTTATCAAGACAAAAGAAAAACTGATGAATTAAAATTTTATATAAATTATAATTCTTATTCTTTGATGATGATGATGATTATGATGATTATGGTCATCGATTAAATGATTTATTTAATCAGAATAAATAAAATGAGATTCAAACATTAATCATTATAAAAAATATTGATCATGTCAAAGAATATTTGACTACGATCATAATCCTTTAAAATAACTGACAACTTTTTTCTTTTCTTTTTCTTTCTTTTATTATATGTTATAAATACATATTTACAACAGCTTCCAAAGTTATTCGATCAGATTTATTTTCAATTTTTTTCTACTGCTGTAATTGCAAATAAGAGTTCAAATAGTAATGTGTATAGAAAATTTCAGAAGATGAATCAATGATAGGATTTTTTCAAAACCAAAATCCAAGTTTTTTATGTCCTGGAATTTTATTTGAATAATTCGGATTGATTGAGCAAATAATTCTCTACAAAATGAAACGTCTTTCAGCTTTCTACGACATTTTTTGACCCAGATACATCAATTTTGCGGAAGTCACACAAGTTGTTTTTTTTCTGTTATTTTGCGTATGAAAAGTTATTTTTGTATTTTCTGTAGCATTGATGTATCTCGGCCAAAAAATGGCATAGAAAGCTGAAAGACGTTTCTTTTTTTGTAGAGAATTGTTTGTTTTATTATTTTGGATAATTCAAATAGAATTTCAGAATATGACAAACTTAGGTTTCACTTTTTCAGAGATTCTTTCTTTGGTTTATTTTGAAAAATTCGTGTTGAAGATAAAATTTGAAAATAAATCTGTTCGAATAATGTTAGGAGACACAGTGTATATATGTTTACTTTTTAATGTCAATCATCATTCAATTTCTTTTTATAGCATTTGCAAAAAAACAACGACTTTGAATAAGTTGACTTTGCAAGATTTCTATTTATTTAAAATCATCAATAGTTAACTAATGCGACCTTATATTCTATCAAGTTGAAATTCTGTCATTGAATTCATTGTGCTCATCTTTTGAATGAATTTTGAAGTGAAAAAACAAGCTTTGTTTTTGTATTGCTTTCTAAAAAGCATTTCAACCTGAAATATTGTTTATGTGACATAATATAAAAATATTCTTTTTTTCTTGCTAAAAGAAAACCTTCAAAAACCAATACATTCTCGCATGACGATCGTTTATATATAGCGAATACACTTTCATCATGAAATCTTAATTAAAAATATGAATAATTGAATTTTCTTTTATGTGCTTCACATAAGTTGAAATTTATGTATTATAAAAAAAAAAGAAATTGTACATCAAACATACAGAACAATGACTTCGATCACGAGTGAATGGAAAAAAAAATCATCCGATGAAGTACACTTTTTACCTAATCGACAATATTTTCAACAAGATTCAATAGATAAAACAAATTATCAAATAAAAAGACCTAATAAGAAAAAAGTTCGTTTCAATTGTCAAACATCAATTACAAGAGAACAACCATTAGAATATACAAAAAATAATCATTCGGAAATAGATCGATTAGAAAGATTAATTTTAAACGATCATGATTACACAACATCATCATCAACAAATATTTTAACTACTAAGTAAGATAAACTATATTCGATTGATTCAACTATGAAATAATTACTAGTTAGATTATCAGCTATCTGTGAGAGACCAATATGTAGTGTACGAACAGTAGTTATTACATTTTTTATTATTGTTTTAATTCTTCTTATTGCTACGGCAATTGCTATCGGTATTAGCAAGTCATCACCAAATACAACAGTGACATTAATAAAAAATACTAATGAAAATTCATGTATGTTTGTTTATAAGAATTCAAGATATTGGAAAGACAGAGTGTTGGTTTTTGTTTTAGTTTCAAAAACATTTACAACAGTGATGGCCAGTAGTGTAAGTATAGGAAATCAAAGTGGACCACCTTGTTCGTCGTATACAACCATCAATGATCCGACACGAAATGTTGCTCGAATTAGGCCGTTTGGTTCTTGTGATGATGGACCGTTATTTAACACAAGTAGTGGTGGCGCTTGGATACGATTTGTCGGTAGTGGTGGTACTTTAATACCACTTTCATCACCTGGTGGAAATCATTGTGGTGCTTATGCTACAGGCTGGTTCAATGGTACATTACCAACAACATTTGATACTATAGTTAATGGATTCGTTTGCTTTGCTAATGATTTCAATGAATGTTTTATTTCCTTTAAGTCAAGTGTAATCTATTGTATTGGTAGTTTCTATGTTTACTTCTTAGTACCTGTTTCGTTTTGTAATGCACGATATTGTACGACATGATTTATTATTGTTTTCTAAACAGTAAATTCGATTTTTATAATGAAAAAATTAAAATTTCGAAAAAATGAAATAAATGCTGACTTTTCTTTATATCACGAAATTCATTATTTAAAATAATGCTCCTCGACCGACTTGACAAGATCTTAGCTGTTTCTCCTTTTTTTTCAAACTGAACCATGTGAAAAGTTATGCAATCATGCTCGATTTAGTTCAAAATAGGGATGAACATTAACGAGGAACAAACTTTGATTCAGAATGAATAGTTTAATATGAAGAATATCAATATTTCAAAAAAAATGCGAAAGACAGTAACTTTTTAAGAGCAACGATAATTGTTCACATATATTTAAATACTTATTGTTTTCATTTCATTGAATACCGATGTCGCATATTATATTCGTACTACCGCCGGCATAGCGGACATCATACCAAACAATCTACCAGCGGTTCTTTTCCGGTTTAAATCATCTGAATAATTAATACTTAATGTTTATAAAAACTGTTTCGCGTGTAAAGTCTCAGGATATGGATTTGCGTCGCTCGTATTCAAAGGGTTAATAAAATATGACTAATTCGTATTTAATGAATAGAAGCAGTTTTATTGAGATATATTGCTTTCTAAATGAATATTTTATTTATTACGTTATTCGATTCATATTTAGAAAAAAAACATGTTATCATTCATTTCTATATATTTGTCAGTAGATGATTATTTTTTAGTATTAAGCATTTAGAACAAACACATCAGTTCAAAATTTTCTTGACTTGTTCATAATTCAAAGTATGCAAGAACGAAAATGTTATTTGTTGGACTTATGTTTATGGAATTAATTTTCTGTGTTCGTTGTATGTATTAAATTTATTATATTGTTTAAGTTTTTTTGGAACATGGTGGTACTATTGAACAAACACCATATGAACAAACGCTTTGTTCACATGTCGGTTCATAACCTTTTGGACAAATTAAACAATTTCGTTTGTTATATGGACATTTTGCTCGTGTTTTACAGATCCGTTGTGAACATGGTTTAATATCAGTACACTTACCATCTATACATTCAGCTGATGCACAAAGTGGTGTAGTATCATTAGTACATTTAGTTACACAACTTTTATGATGAGAACATTCCTCATTACGAGTACAAGTATGAATTGGAGGTATCGTTGTCGTTGATTCTACGAAAATATCACATGGCATAATTGTTTTACATTGATCATTTTCACAAGCAGCTTGAGCACATGGTGGACTATAACCAAGTAGGCATTGGTCACATATTTGAGGAGTAATACATTGACTTAGATCTTCGGGTGTACATTCAACCTTTTGTGAACATGGTAAAATAATTTGACATATATTATTAACACATTTTCCTGTAGCACATAAAGGACGTGTACCATTTTTACATTCATCAGCACAAATTTTAGCATAAGAACATTGACCATCATTTTCACATTCAAAAGGAATTGTAGAAGGTTCTATTGTAGATGCATATATTGAACAAGCCGAGATAATTTTACATTGATCATTAACACATACAGCTGTGGCACAAGCTGGACTATAACCTGATAAACACAACGCACATAATTTATCAAAAATGCAGGAACTTGCATCAGTTCCCTTGCATTGATTAGTAACGAAGGATGTTTCTGTAGGAATAGATATGATGTCTTGAGAACATTGTTTAATTACATTACATGTACCATTGATACAAGTTGCTTGATCACAATCTGGTCCACGGCCATTTTCACATGTAGTACATTCGTTCGAAGATAAACATTGGCTTGCATCAGTACATTCTTCTGAATTAGAAGATGGATCAACAAGTTCTCTTGTCAATAAAATATTATCAAAAGGGATACAGTTAACAAGAAATACAGCACTGATAGAAACAGTGAATATTCGCAGCATGTTTTTCTTTTCTATAATTGATTATGGTAACGTTTAGCTATTTGATTGCACTTTATGTATATATATACATTCAAATAACGATTAGACTTTCTTATTCGTAAAATTATTTTGTCATTTGTTATTATATTCGTATTATAAATAAAAAGATTGATTTGTTTTTGTATCGAAAGCATTCTTAAGTACCTTAATATACAATGTATAAGTTGAAATATACTCATTCATTTATATAATCATACAAATATTTTTTTGTACTTATTGAGCAATTGCAATATTAATAAATAACAGAGTTTCTCCTTTATTCTCTTAAACTGAAAGTATTGAAGTTCGTATTAAGTCGTCTAATGAATTTCCTTATCAGTATAAATTATTATATTTAAGCAACAAACATAAAGAAGAAAAAAAGTTTTTCTTTTTTTTTTAAATTTTCTGATTCGATGCGTATTAGTAATTAACGTCCTCGAGAAGTTGGTGTTTTTCCTGCTTCTCCACCAACACTTCTTGATACACCATTTGTATTTTTTTCACGTGATACTATTGGTGACATATCTGGATGTTTACTTTGTTCTTGTAAGGCTCGTTTTTCTAAATTTCTAACATGATCAATTGCACGTTGTTTTAGTTCTTCACGTGTTAATGGTTTAAGTTCTTCTTCGGCTTTTTCTTCCCTATCTTCTGGATCACGACGATCTTCTCTGTATGATATAATAACAAAATTGAAAACAAAAATAGATCAAATAATTAATAAAGACACTTACGTATTTGGAAGATGCACATGAACATGTGGTGCTGGTCCAGATGGACCATCACCAATGAGATTTGGTGCACGTTCACGTAATGAAATATTTTGTTCCTAAATAAAAAAAGTAGAATTTTCAATAAACTTAAAATTATTCTTTGACAATAATTGTTTTTATACTTTTGCATTAATAGTTGCTTGTGCCATGAGTAATTCATTTGTTCTTTCTTCAATAATACCTAAATATCGTAACATATTATCATCCGTAACACCGTCATGACTTTGTAGCAAATGATCGATTTGTCGACGATCACAACCAACCTTTTTAAATATTGAATCGATACCTAAAGAGAAATCAGAAATTAAGTTTAGGAGATCAATTAGAAGAAAATAGAGATGCAATCGTGACGGTACACCTTATGCCCGGTGCTCTTCCTCATGGGTTCACGGATGCAAACATGTTCATATAGACTAACGGTGAAAGCATAATAACACTATATCGGTTAGTGTCGAATCTAGGATTTCGGGAAAGGAAAATGATCATAGTCACATTACATATTTTGAAGCTCATTGAAAATCTTATCGACTGATTTTTGGGCATTCTCTGCTCAGAAAAATCGAAAAATATTTCAGAAGAGAAAGACGATCACCCTCAAGTGTCTTCCATTTAAATTCACTACTGACGGCGGTGTTGGATTGATTTCGATTTTCTTTTATCGAGGAGACCACTTCAAGAAAGTAATTAAATTTTATAAAAATAGAAGACGATGTCTATTTGATGAGCTCTAGTGCGTAATACAAAATTCTAGAATGGTTTTGTTGTTCCAGACATTCGCTATTGAGTTAATGAAATTTTACTGTTTTTTTTTAATGCAAACTTGTGGTTTCCCTCAGATCACTTTCAAGCTTCGATTTCAAACTTTGCATGAACAAAGTTATTAATGGAATTAATTGATTTTACAATTAGTATTTCCCTTCTGAAGTTGTAGGTATATGAACCAAATTTGCTTGTACACACAAGACGATTTTGAATACGCAATATCTCAGAAAAGAAGATACTAGAAAAGTTACAACTTGCCTATTCAACTAACTCTCTCATGATTTGAGAGAAACCCTAGTTTTTTGTTTGAAAAAAATAATAATAAAGTTTCAATATCTTGACAACGAAGCACTAGAAAAACAAACTATTCTCGATTTTTCTATTACTCTCTAGCGCTTATTAGATGAATATCGCCTGGGCCGAAAAGTAATTTGAAACTTGGAAAGATTCTCTTGATAATTTTCATGGTTTAGTCATATGTTATAAAAATTAACTATTTTCTTGATATAGACTTCTTCCGATGGAAGATATTCAAATGAATCTAAAGTCACTGTGATTTTTTTATATGCATGCCTACACTAGTGCATTAGTGTACGATGGCATTGGTGATTACCGTCATAAATTTTTTCCTAGAAGAAAGAATAGACCTGCTCGACATTGATCAAGAATTTTTTTTGCACTAAGAATTTTTTCTTCATATTCTGCAGCTAATTTTGTTGCTTGTGAACATTTATCTTCCATTTGGTCAAGCATTTTTTGTCGTTGATCTTCTAATTCAACACCTTGTGCTTCAAAATGACGAATTTCTTTTTTAATATCAGCTATTTGTTCTTGTAATATTTCAATTTGATTATTTAATTCGTTAACGTAATTAAATAAAGCAAAATTTTTATCTTCGACTATAAAAAAGAATATATATTTTTTTTTGGTTTAGAAAAATAATTTAAATGAAAAAAAGAAATTATAAAAAATTTTCAAACCTTCAATAAATTTATCAACAAGTTTATCTAAATCTTGTTCACCACTTATATCTTGAATTTGTTTAAATTTACTTTCATAGGCTCCTACTGAATGTTCTTCTTTTTCTTTACGACGTTTTTCATTTGCTTCAGCTTCTAAAAATCGATACAAAAGGAAAAAAGACTTCTATTTCTTCGTTAAAAAAAAAAATTAAAAACCTCTGCGTTTTCGATATGTAACAAGTTCTTCATCTTCTTGTCGTTCTTGTGATTTCAGTTTCATAAAATCACGTAATTTACGATCATGAGAAATTTGTCGTTCAAGTTCTCTCATTTCAGCTTCAGATGCTAATTTATCTGTTTCAGCTTTACCTATATATATAGTTAAAAAGAAAAAGAAGTGTAGAAAATTAAATAAATTAATCTATGATTTACTTTGAAGAATAATTGCTTTTGCGTTTGCATCTTTACTAAAATTTTTTGTATAAAAAAACAAAATGATTAAATTTGAATGAAAGACAAAACATAATGAAATATTAGTTAATAGAAAAAAAAGGAAAAGAAAACTGTTGTTTTTGGTAATCATTTCTTTGTATATTAGTCAGTGTAATCTATCGATCAAAATACACAAAGTTTTGTTCGTTAGATAAATTCTTTCTACATATTGCAAACCTTGTTGAAATCTACTTAAAAGCATAATTTTATTTTTTGATTGCAAAAATCGACTAAATCAATAATAATTTCTTAGACTACTTTGCTCCTTTTTTTTTCTTTATGTAAAAACAAGAATTCAATTTAATCTGATGTACCAATATTAATAACATTGTTAACCTTTTTGTCTTTTAAAAAAAGAAATAATCAAAATTTTTATGTTAAATTTTAATATAATCATACCGTTGTTCATATGAAGTTACGGAACGTTCAATACATTCGACTAATTGTACACGTAAATCTCGAAGTTCATTTTCTGATTTTTGAGATAAATTTTCATAACGTTCGCGTTCATTTCGTAAATTATCAATTTCAGAACGTAATAAACTATTTGTTGCAAGTAAGGAATTAAACCGTTTTAAAGACTTTTTATGTAAAGAAAAGAAGAAGAAAAATCTTATAAATCATATTCAAAGTTCTCATACCGTATCTAAACGATTTTCTAAAACACGTTCTTGTTTACGAGTATTTGCATTAAATGAAACTGCAGCATTGGCACCACCGATTTCTGTTTGTTTTTGACGAATTTTCTTTTCCCATTCACGTAATTTAGCATCAAGTTCAGTTGATAATGCTTGTTCATTTTGTATTTCATTTTGAATTTCATCTTAAAAATAATTTGATTTAAATTTAACTCGGAAAATAAATGATAGAATACCTTTTGTTTGTATAAGTTCTCGTAATTTTTTTGTTTTTTCTTCATCACGTTTTTGATTTTCAAGACTTTCAGCCAAACGATATACTTTATCTAATTCGTCACGCTCTTTTGCTAACTGTTGAAGAGTTTTACTATTGAAGAATTGCTTGTTATTGAATTAAATCTTAACAAGATAAGGATTCCTTAAATTTTACCTTTGCATTCGTAATTGATCTTTTTTTTCAATTGTAAATTCACGTTGATCTTCCCGTGCATGTCGATGGTTATTTTGCAGTTTACTCAATTGTATTTCTTGAAATTCTTCATCTGAATCTTCAGATATTAATCGACCAGCCATTATATACACAATAATAGAAAAAAAGAAAAGTCAAATCAATCAAGAACACAATAACAAAAAAAAATGTTACTCTATCGACATTTTATAATGTGAAGTGATGGTAACTCCTCCACGGTGTGCATATTATGTTTGAAATAAATTCAAATTCTTTTCAATATGATTCTTATAATTATTATTCGTCAATAGAAAAGAATGTTTTTATTGATGATGGTGATAAAGTATTATTATATTTAAGCTGATAAGTCGTAACTATGAATTAAGAATTGAGATTTTATTTTTGTTTCTCTGTCATGAAATTGTAAACAAACAAAAAAGACAAGGAATGTGAGCGAGATTATAAGATCCATTATAAAAAAACAACAAATTAAATTATATTAAAAATCATCCTCTTCAGTATATGGTGCTTGCTGTGGTGGTTGCTGCCTTTGTCGCCGTTGTCCATTACTTGCACTTGGTTGTCCTCCCATAGCTCCTCTTTGACGAATACCACTATTTCCTCGTCGAGGATCCATTTCCATACCTAAATCATCGTCTTCGTCGTCTATACCAGTTCCACCAACTCCTCGACCCATTTGCATTTGATCTTCATCATCGCTTAAATCATCTGTCATACCGCCGTAGGTCTGACCTCCTGCACCATTTTCTACAGAAAAATTATATTAAATGATATAACAAATGATAAACTAGATACCTAATTTATTTCCTCGAGGTGCTGGTGAGTGATCCATATCTTCATCATCTTCTTCCGATTCTTCGTCACTAAATAATAAAGAAAAATA